GCAGAACAGAGGGTCTGGCAAGAAACAAGGTATAGTCGTTGTGATGGGACAAAAACCGACGCTGCACTAAAAGAACCTTTGGCAGTTGGAATGGGTATAAGAGTAGGCTTAGCGCCGCGGTCTTGGCAAAATTTCACTCATAGCACACTGTATGGCATATGTCCGTCTTCATTATCCCAATCGGAGCAAAAGATTAGACTGTTTTTCATTTCTAAATTATGACTGTTACACATCTCCCGTAGAAATGATCTCTGTGTTAAAATTATATTTGGGATGTATTTAACCAGTTCTATCACATATGTAATAATGACTGACACCAATATTGTCCTTTAATTGGGCAGTAGGCTAATCGTAATTCATGAACTGTAATATTGCAGAATAATGAGGACAATCCAGAAAGCAACAAGGGCCCGGATAACCAACGAGGTCTTCCTTATATGGTCATTTTGCAACTAATATGGTAAGTCAATATATGGTTATGCGAAAAAGGATAATGACATTCTCTCCAAAAGTCCAACATATAAAGGATTACCAACAATATTGTGAGGAAATATTCGTGGGCGTACCAATCTGAATTTTTTAGGAAGAGTTGATAATGTTATCTATTTTATTGTATTATGTCGAAATCACTTTAGAAAATATAATTTTGTTGGACAGTAATCCACACTTCAAACATAATCTAAGTGATGTAGAATCAATATCAGAATTTGTATTTATTGTCGTCTAAGAAACATCTCACTGAGTTCCAACAATGTGTTCATTAGTCCGGTAGGTGCAAAAAAGAGGACGTCAATCCCCATTTCATTCATTCATATACATATGATAATTATCACAGTGTTCTTTTCGTCTTGTAAAGTTGGTTATTGTCACATGTATTAGCATCTTGAGAGAGAGATTAATTTCAGTCGACATAAACTACGTCACCCTCAACTGATACTTTTACCAAGAACTGGCAAGAACATAATAAATTATTTTCAATTATGATTTTATATGTTCAAAATAACCCTAGACTTCACCTAAGTGCCCCCGGGCAAAATTTCCCTCATAAAAAAACAGTATGGCGTATTCCCGTCTTCATTAGCCCAGTTTAGGAGCAGAACAGTAGGACGTTAAACCCCATTTCATTTCATTTCACCTAAGTGTCCAAAGTCCAATAGAGTACAAATACGTTAACATTCGTTGAACTTGAAAATCACTTGAATATATTTGATCAGCAGCCCAGACATTTTGGACAAGCGAACAAGGTACCAAGTACAGGAACACTTACTATGTAAACCAAAATATTCATATAGGTATGTCTGCTGGGGCGACCCCCTGCAGTGTGTAGAACATAGATCGCAAAAGAAGGCTCCCAAAATAGGCTGGATCATTCTGGGAGTACCACCTGAAACTAAATCGAAATGAACAGGTCGCACAGAAATGGCGCGGACTGATTAATACTCGGTTGCATATTCTCCAGGAAGGGTTCCATTATTTTGGGCTGGATTAATGGATTAAAAATTTGCGGTAACAAATAAAACTAAGTTCAAAATTACCACCAATACACAATACCAGATAAAATGCCTTCTGCATAAGGGTCCCATATGGACACTATCCTGAAATTAGGCTAGAAAATATTTTAGGGTACCACATGCAAGTCAGGTTAAACTGACAGCTACAAAATGACCCATTCTAAATAAAGTGTCCTCTACATAAGGTCTGCCTGTCTGTTTTTGTTTAAACTCTGATTCTTTTGTCATTTTAGTCTAGATTGTTTGTTCCCACACTTTCCATCAATTAAATCTTTGTGTCATTAAAGTATTGTTTATTTTACGGTATTGTTTAGTTGGCTTGTTGCATGGTAGACTTCATTCTTTATTTTTCTGGTCTAGACCGTTTACAGTTAATGCCTCGATTGTTTAACAACGTTGTATTTTGGTGGCGCGTGTCTTCAATATGCTGGTATTGTTCAGGAGAGTTGCTTTTCATAAATCTATATTGAACGAAAAGGGCCCGACTTTTGTATACATACCGAGTAGAATTTTAATTACAAGTAATTAGGAAAAATAGTTTTCTACTGAACTGAAATAGTTTCGTTCATTATAAAAAAATCTCATTATAAAAATATTCAATTATACTTATATATAGTCATTCAAACATTTTATTGATTGTTCCTGCTCACAAGATAACAAGATAAGTTTGCGTCTTTAAAATCGAGTATGACGTCATCGCAGACATCTTGGAATTGTGACGCCATATCCAAATTCGATGCGTGATTGCCAAAATACTTGAATTGGCGTAGCAATGGTCATTTTTGAGAAGAGCACCGTCAAGTTCCTGATTCAAAAATCCTGATTCTCAACTAGATATCATTAGGATATGTGTACTAAACAAAAACATTAAAAAGTTGTCGATTTTTAATTTTGGTCAATAAGCTTATTTGCCCACTTACTATCACCGAAATGTACATCTTTACAGTTTTAGTCGACATCTCAGTTAAAAATGGCCGTGTAGAAGATTGTTCACTGATTTATCTAGGACATATTATCGTGCGTTTTAAATTCTCCTTTTCCCTTAATTAACTTGGCCCGGTGAAAAAATCCCTTACTTTAAGGGCGTATAACTCTATTCCTTGGAACCGTGAAATATTGGACAGGAATTGGTCGAAAACACTTTTTATTTTAAATTTTATTGTAATTTCTATTCAGTTATGTTCGATGAAATTCGTGAGCCGATGAAATTAAATAGTAGTCGTTTGGTTAATCCAGTCTACAGGTTGATCGCTTATTCTTTTTGCCATTTGTGTTTCTGCCATTGTAATTATTTCCAATTTGACTCATGTACTATGTTTCATTTTGTTCATCAAGCTTTCTCATAACAAAGATCCCGAGGAACTTATCTTTAAATGGTCATTGTGTCCATATGTTCGCGGTCAGATAAAAACAAATTGATCGAAATGGGTTAAAATGGAATTTAAATTTGTATTTATAATGTCGAATATTATGAATAATCTCAGAGCCCTTTAATGTCTTTTTTCATTACCGAAGGTCTTACTCGCGTTTTTTCATTATGCGTGGTTCCGGTACGTTTGCAAAATATTCAAAATGAAACTTTTTACTCGATTATCTGGCACATGATATCTTTCACGGATTTTCTTTTGTTAATAAATTGGTGGAAGTAAACAATTTCATTTGAGTATTTTATATTATTTGAATAGGTTTCTCTTGTCAAAGTCCGGGCACTATTCGATCTGAATTCAGGCATTTATCCTATAATCCGCGGAACATTTACTTCCGGTTACTAGTTAGTGTCAGTTGGAAATCTATAATCAGTAAGTCCTACCATTCCACATGAAGACCAATAATTTAATTACTACATTATTAGCTTAGATGTCTGTTCAATAAATATACTACTGATACATACTGATTATTTTCTCATGTTCATACCCACTATTTTACAGTAGTCAATATCTGTACTACTTAGCTTATTATTTAATCACCAATGCCAGGTGAAAGAATCGAAAAGTTAAAACCAAGCTATAATTACGCACAATTTGAACCAGAAAATAACACGAGTGTGTGATATTGGCCACGTCTACAAGCATATTGTTATTTTTTTCTATAATTGCAAGGTGTGTGCAAGTGGTCAACTACTAGTATGTGTATCATGTTGATTATTCTTGCTGATATAAAAACCACCAAATATGTTTTCTTATTTAGCGTTTATTTGTTTTTGTCTTTAATTACCAGAATTCTCCGATTAACGACACAAAAATGTCAACATTTTTTAATATTTAACATGTATGGCCTATGTATATATCGGCGTTAATTAGTATTTTTGTCATGCCGATAAAACATACATTTTCCTTTTTAATTTCAATAAATTTGGTAATGGAGCAAAGAATGGTATTCATTCTACAGTCATTGCCATTTTGGTTTATTTTCAGTCAACACAACAAATTATCGTCTTACAGCTTTTCCTTTAAAGAAAAAAAAACCTCACCCTAACATGCATAATATATAATATACCGTCCAGGTTGTCACAAATTGCCTCTGTCAATGGTTCTCTGCATTTAACTATCACTGTCTCGCATATCTGGAGCTAAAGAACGAAGAACCGGAGCTTGGGCTAACGTGGAATTTTCCGGTTGACACCAGGGGACATGTCAATATAATTAAAACTAGATGTTATTTTTCATTCGTCAAATCATTGACATCTACAGGAATGCTTAAAGTCTCGATGCGCCATTTGAGCTGTATATGAATCACTTGCAAACTATAATGTTGCGATAGATGAATGCCCGAGAAGGAATATCAGTCCAAAAATGATTAAATTCTATTCAGTATTTACAATAATGTGTGGAATGAAAATTTCATCGATACACAAAGTATCAAAAGTTACAAACAATTCACAAGGCGCTATTTAGAATAGGAAAAATTTGGGAAACCAAATCGATTGTTGCACCCTTGCTTTGTTTACACTTCCGGTGAAACACATTTTTGGGGTGTTTTTTTTAAGCAAATAAGTAGTCCGTTCTAATAAAGCGCCGTGGTAATGTTCTCGGGCGGTGGCAATACACTGTTTTCAGAATGAATATTGTCTTTGACCTTCATTACAGAGCTAACCAACGAGGGTCACTACCATACTCTTGGGACCCTTCTTGCTTAATTTTCTAAAGTATTGCGCTGGTATGACAATATTTCCATGCGATTTTGAAAACACAAGAATGTCACGTTAATGCCACTAAACCTAAACCCTGCAGACTTGAATACTTACCTCCACCATATTTATGCCTCGCCAGGTCGATGCTATTGTCTGTTGTTCCCTCAGACACACTATTTGTTCGACAATTAAAACAGAAAACGGCATTTTAGGAAAAAAATGTGTTTATATTAATTTGAAATTTCCCAAATTCAAATGGACAACATTAACAATAAAAATAAGAATTACAGGAAATTTTAGATAAGAGTTACAGGAAATTGTATTTTAAAAAAATAAACTCTATAAAAATAAAAGCTTACCTTAGATAGTCGAATCACAGTCGTTAACTTTAAATCGGAACTTCCTCCCTGTCGTGATATTAGTGTTTACTAGTTGCTTTTCTTCTGACAATATCTCTTTTTTTTACTGTTTTCGTCCTCTCCGTTGTGCCGATATCGTCCAATTGAGAAAGGCGGAGTGAAGATCTTCAATAAATAACTGATGAAGTAACGAAAGTCTTGATTGACACGTGGGACATCCGCTCAGATCAACTTATGGATTTTGGTCTAATTATCAATATACTGTGTGGATAAATGTACATTGAAAATTTTCGCCCCTTATTTCCTACTTGCACGCGGATTATAACATTTCTAACAAATATAACAATTCTATAATCGATGCGTTTGTTCACAGATCTTTTTAAAGATTATTGTCACCTGTTGATAAACTAACAAAGATCCATTTTTTTGTTAATTAATCTATATAATAAAGTGTTGTTTATAATGAAAAAAGAAATACGAAACTATGTATAGTATATCATGCAAAGCAACACAACGTGCCGAAGAGGATATTCGTTATGGGGGTATCTTTTTTATCGGGTTTAAATAGTGTCCAGAAACTTCAACAGGGATACTACAACCAATAACGTCATCATAGCAAATCATACTGGGTCTATTTGGCGATGTCATGATGGGTATGAGGCGCCTGTGACCGTTATTTGTATATTACATGATGGCTATGCGTGTGTCTGCTATGAAAACAGCTTCCCCACCTTAATACCCAATTACAAGAAGATTCCTGACAATAAACCCACGATTTTGTCAATGGACTAAGATTGATAAATTTCTCGAGGTTCTTTGATGAATCAGTTTTTAAGACTCTTCATTATAGCCTGGATTTGTTCAGATAATGGCTATTCTTCTGGCGCCCTTCTATCATTTGGTCGTCATAAACAACACATTAAACTTCTTATAGCATTTAATGTTTACATAACATGAATATGAAGTAGGCATTAATTTGCCAATCATTAATATAGATTACATTTAAGACAGCCATTTACATATTTCATAAAATTACTTGTTTTTACATTGAAGTAAAAAGACTAAGATGGCGTTCTAAAACAATCTAAAATATGATCGATGATCAACGTAATAACAGGCGATCAGATGTACCTTATATGGGTCGAACAAACAGTTTTCTCTGTACCCATTCTATCACATTTAACAAAATAGGTATCAACAGAGAATTAGTCACACAAACTGATTGATGATCGGAAATTCCTAGCTATCTGTTGGTTTCGACTTGATATTGTTGTGAGTATTTTATGTGTACGAAAACAATTTTGTTTCTTTTTCGGTTTTTTTAACTACACTGCAGTATAATAATATGATATCATGTTTGATGAAGGTTAAAGCATGTGACAGTGCGTCATCTTCTCGTCGAGGCTGGTCTGACATATTGAGCGATCAGATAGATAAGGTACGTCACCTACAGGCCTTTGATTGAAGGCTCAATGGTGCCTTTCGAGGTACAGTAACTATCTACGTCCGTTTAGCTCCATTCTAGAGGCTTGGCTCCTGGTGGCCTTATCTTCTAGGATAATGGCTTGTAGTTGCTGACTCACACGGTTTGTCACCCTGGCTCCGATTAAGAAGGGTTTCATACATAGCGAGGATGTGCGATGGGAGGTGGTATTACGACAGGTCCAACCACCAATCGGGTGTGATCCTAAATGGCTCAGCCTTTTAAATACCATAACTATTTCAGTTATTAGTAATTTGGTAATGGCGAAATAAAGTTAAATAAAACAATAATTTTAACCTTTTAATATATATTCTCATTTGTTAATTATATCTTTTATAGATAATTTTTCGAACGAAATCTTTCTCATTATTATTATAGATTTGGCGTTCGAGTTGACTTCGTTCTTGTGCACTAACTTTGTATTTAATGCATTCACGGCTACTTTTATATACTTTTGAAACTCTAATCATGTTTTAAACTGTATCAAGTGTTTCCCCCGTTTTGGAGTTTGCGTTCTGCATATGTTCTACAAGTTGAATAGTTCTAAACCGTTTCTTCATTGCACTAACAAATGAGGTTTCCTGAAAGCCGACTAGTCGAGACACCTAGGTAAACATTAAGTTATTTCAAGGAAATTAGAGAACAGTCTCTGGTTGGTCAGTATTAACCAAGTATTGTTTTTATATGTATATACATTTTATATTTTCACATTCCATAGAATTGTGATATGAACATTGGCGTGCACGTAAAAGAATCCTTGCCATATTTCGGGACAAAATTATCCCCCTCGTAATGCACAAGTGTAACCATCTCAATGAAAATTATAGCGTATAAGTGATTTGCTGACGATACAGTAGATCTCATCATTCCATTCCTTTCAACAAAGTGTATACTGACGGATAATCACAATCACGACATAGGCGGATCAACATCAATAACTCAGCAGTTATTGAAACAAATCTTCTTTTTTTTTTCAATTTAATGCTGGTTCTTAAATGTTTTCGTATTCTTGTTTTAATGTGTTTATATCTATATCTGTAGACACTCGAGAGTATTTGAATACGATGTAGGTATTTTTGGTTAACTTGATATAGATTGCAATAATATAATGGTTGTGGTACTAGGCTTTTAAATCTGAGGAATGAGGGGATTGCTGCTGCCAGTATTTGGCTCAATGGTTTGCCTGGCAACCGTTAGATCGCTAAGTCTGCCGTTGAATCAAGTGTCGTGGTTTCGTTCCATGGCTTGGTACGTTGTTGGACTTTTTCCGGTCTCCGCCCATGGCTAAAGACACCATGTTCAAACAAAAGCGAATTAATGAAATAGGATATATCACATGTTTAGCCGAAATAATTTTGTTCGTGTTGACTGAACGATAAATCCCATTTCAGCCCCCCCCCCACACACACCCAACGAAGATATACGATTTTGAAGATAAACTCTTTAGATGGACTCTAAATTAATCATTGGAGATGCCAATCTCCACCCCAACGACTGGCCACTGGTAATTGTTCTAGGCTTTTGTAATTTAGCTTCTGCCTGAGACCCTAAGAAATACCGAAGGCGAAATCCCATCACCGACCCCAATTCCTCATTTCCACTGCACAGATAAACGTTGGTAGAACTTCTTCTTTGCGCCCAGGTCTATCCATGTACAGAAGATATATGTGCAAAGTATATATAATGGTAGTCATTTATTTTCCTAAATACTTCTTGTTGAAATATTATTCGAAGCTAACAAGACATTATCTTAACTGGACACTGTAGAGATTCAAACAATAGTATAATGATTATAACTGCTTGATGAAAGCCACTACAGGACCGGTCTTAGGCGATATATTGAAGGGAGAGTTTCGGTTCCTAGTTTGGGATTAAAATAACAGACAGAACGCCGGGTCGCTATTTGGCCCACACTTTCTAGAAATTGAAGGTATGCCGGAGATACAAGCTTTACATAGAAAGTCTAATGACTTTTGAATGTGAACATACTACTTTTATATTCTAATTTAAATTTAAAAATGTATTGATTTTCTGTGCTTGTTTGAAACGGTTATAATTATAAAACACCGCGAAATAATGACATTTATGTACGTAGGAAGTAATAACATATTTTTTTCTTCCACTGAAAATTTACAAAAAGAGAATTGCTACATAATGATTCCATGCCCATCAGCAAGAATATATAAACATAGATTTTGATATTTTTGTTACTATAGTCTGTGTAATTTAAACGAAACGAACACCTGACTGGGTAAAATAAGGCCCTTCATCTCATTGTTTCTTAGTTCTTTAAGCCTATAGCACAGTGTTCTTGAATTAGGGGCCAGTGCTGTAAATAATGACGAAGGTCCAACTTTTGCGAAATTAGGCATTCCAAATTTGTACACCTGGGCCAGATGCATGCGTATGCATGTTGACCATTTACGACCGGTATAAATGTATAAATACATTGATATTACCATATCGCATGTGGGTAAACAGTCAGATATGTTGTGGTTAATTACAAAACCGTAACTTTGAAGGTTTCGAAAGAGACCTAACCGTATCAGTCTGAACTGCTCTTGGTCGTCAACGATCAAAAAAGCCAATAATGCTAGGTTCCCACTGTCCTGTAATACCCCCGTCAAACCGGGGTAGCGTCCTTACTGCGCTGTTATGGCGACGGAAAATGGTCTCAGTGCGCGCAAAGAGGGCCATAAGCGTTGTAAAAGCGTTGTGGAAACGCCAGATATCGTGCTGTGGTTTCCATGGTCGCCAATGATCGCCGAGCCACGGCGTTTGTTTTGAGCATGTTCAAAACAAACGCCAAGGTCTGCGATCTGACCTGGGAAACTGTGAGAACACGACTTTTTTCAAGTATGTAATTTTTGGGGACATTTTCTCGCGTTGTGTTCACGTTTGCCGGCGACCTTATGCATTTTCTGGTCACCGTACGGTCGCAGCAGCGCAGTAAGGACGCCATCTCGGTCGTAGCGCCTTTGCGTTTGTTTTGAACATGCTCAGAACAAACGCCTTGACTCGGCGATCATTGGCGACCATAGAGACCAGAGTACGATATTTGGCGTTTCCAACACGCTTTTACCACGCTTCTAGCGATCTTGAAGGGCTCCAAGAATATTTTCCGTCGCCATAGCAGGCCACCCCGGTCTGACGAGGGTATTACGAAAGGAAAACTCTGGGCTATATTCAAAAGAACGCGAAAAGTCGTTAACTGATGCTCGTAGTAACAACAAATGGAATAGATTAAATCATTAATGTTAAACGTCTCAACTTAAAAGAAATAAAATTGAGGTTTAACGTCCCATCAATCTAATGAAGACAGGCATACTCCTTGAATCAGCGTGGCTCCAAATATAATTGAAATACACATGCCATGAAACAGGAAGTAGGGCGAGTAGACATAAAAATAATGATTAACACACTTATAATTTTATAAATGTTTCTAAAAATTATAAAATAGTGTTAGATTAGCATGTGCCCATAAATATGTATTAAGATACACATTTTCAAGTTCTTCATCTACAGAGGAACCAACAAAAAATATAAATATCAAACAATCCCACGTTGTCGGGAGTGCATCTTATTTACAGGACCAGGGAATCCGAATGGTGGGGCTTCGAGTGGCAATTTCAGATTTTCTGATACCAACTTCATAAACATTTTATTGGTATTTAGCGAACACATAAAAAGTAAAAACAAAATAATCCAAATTCTAAATTACCAAATATCATAAATTTCAGGGTACACTGATTTGTATAATAGATATTTTTATTTCTAAAGGTCAATTGAGACGTTTGCTATTGTTTGCTTTGACATTAGA